CTGGCGAAAGGTTTACCCAAATGAGTTTAGTGGCATAGCAACAACATTAGTATTGCCAAAAGGTAAACCATTATATCTGATCTAGTACGTACAAATCACAGAGGTCAACATTCTTCTTTTCGTTTACTGCTGTCTTTTCGCATAACGACATCGGCTGCTATTTCGCCGCTGTCAGCCTGTTACCGGGGTTTTGCAGCGTTCCACACTTTGGGTCTCACTCGAAAACTTTCAATTGTGACTGGGAGCTTTGCTTATTGCTTGTGTTTTGGTGCTTCGCCTTTTACTTAAATCCACACTTATACACTTATAAATACTTAAATACTATATTGCATACACACATACATGCACACACACACTTACTTATCTTATTTGGCCTTTTGACTCGCATACACTTGTAGGAAAAACACAAGAATTTTCGTTTTTGTTTTGGTTTTCGTTTTTCTTTCGTTTTTCTGTGTGTTTTTATGGTTTTATTGTCCCGCTTTGTATTTGTGTGTGTTTGTGCGGTTTTTTGGCGTTTTGGTGTGCTAATAATTTTGTTACACGCGATGTCTGACAAGCACTGGCTGGCATCACTTCGCCGTTGGGTCGATGTTGTGTTCAAAGTTAAATAAGGCGCGCACTCGCTAGCACCACAACCAGCGGCAAGGACTCGAAACTTGACGAGTCATACTACATTTCAAATTTTTTTACCGTTATTATACATACATATACTTGTATATGTATATGTATGTGTGCCGCAGACGCGCTATTGATGTTAGTGAATACACGCGTTTGTTAAAAAAGAGCGAAAATTCCTCGTGCGTTTATGTTTCGACTGATGGGGCCACTAGTGAAGTGTTGCTTTTTTACTAGTCTCCTAGTTTTCACTGTTACAAAGTTGAGTGCGACGGGCGCTAATGTGGCAACAGGAGCAGCAGAGTGAAATGTTGCAGCTGTTTTATTATTATTTTTTTTTTCGAATGTATGTGTGATAGCCAAACGCAACGCCAGAAATGTCTGATATTTTGTAATGCCTTTTTTTTGTTGTGATGAAAGAAAGCTGAAGCTGGTTTGTGCAGGCGAATAAAGTGAAACTAAAAGTGTGTTAATATTGCCAAATCATGTGCGTCGCGAAAGCCTTAAATTGCGCTTAAGTCATTTAAATAGACGCCGGCAGAAATAAAACCAAAACAACGTCAGTAATAATAATAATATTAAAAATAAAAATAAAAATAAAAATAATAATAATAAAAATAATAATAATAAAAATAATAATAATAATAATAATAAAAATAATAATAATAATAATTACTACTCACTATTGAAAATAATTTTTGTACGTATGTATTTGTATAAATTGTTTTAAAATATAAACAAGAAAAAATTTAAATAATAAGAAAATAAAAATTTAATGAAAATATGTATAATTTTAATATAAGGTAAGACATAGTGCAGATAGCATATGTATGTATGTATATTATGACAATATATGTTTTGTATTAACTATCTGTCCCAAATTCATTAAGCGTCGCTTAATTAATAAACTTATAGAACAGTAAATTTCCTACAAGACTATGAGCTTTATAATTTGAAATGAGTTATTTTTATTCGTTTATAATATTTAAAAGAAAAAAAAAACATATTTGCCCTTAAATAGTCAAACTTCAACCTTTAATATCTTCTAAACGGTTATGTTTACGAAAAAATCGTTTGAGACTTTTTTATACAGCATTCAGTTTCCTACAAAATCTATGAAACGAAATATTTTTACAAGTAGTTGGTAACAAGGTAAGCATTTTTCTAATTGATAATTGGAAAAAAATAGATAACTATTTAACGGAGAACCTTCCGTTACAATTAAGAGCTAATACTTGGATAGACTTTCTTAGAGGTGTATATCGATCAATTTTTTGGAGCATTAAAACACATTCCTTTTTTTTACTCACCCTAATGTGTATATATAGGTATCAAAGCCATAAAGCAAACCGTTAGCGTGTTGTATAGCTTTTAAGTATATTTTCTCATAACATTATTGTAGACACCCTTAACACTTATTATTATTCAGTGTATATAAATCGTGCTAACTTAGCTCTATATATTTTTTATACGCTAAACAGGGTAGATTAAGTTTCCCACGAAGTTTATAATACACACAAGGAAATGTCGGAGAGCCATGTCTGTTGTTGTTGTTGTAACGGCAGAATTCCGCCGAGTTGATAGTCCTTGGCTGGATAAAAATCCGGGTTCGTTCCGGTTACGTAGAGCCGACAGTTCGTCTGTCCGTCTTTCTGTCCGGCTGTATACACGCGAACTAGTCCCTCAGACATTATAAAATTCCTGATCTTTACCGCCTACCTCCGTCATCAGTAAAAATTTATGTAGGGAGTATAGCCTACTTAGTCGGCTCTTTTACCAGGCTAATTCCATCTGGGTAAAAATATTTTAGATTTGACTTTTTAAACAAGGATCATTGAACTTTTTATCGTATATTTCGAAGAAGGCCGATCTGGTCGGCTTTATAATATATTGCCGCGGGAATCCCTTATACTTATGTTTTAGTCCATCTTAGCATTTTAGGATGTTGCAAGCGGTAGTAACAGCCAATAAAGAAGGGATGGATCAACTATTAGCGTGAGTTACTGTAGTCAAAAACATAAATATCTGTTGACATCTATGACATCACCCGCGCTTAAAATAACGTTCTAGTTAATAAATAAAGAGAGAACTAAACAGATGTGCAGTTAATTTTTTTTTTCTTTTCGCTGGTTTCAGTTTATCGAATTAACTTTTAAACAAACATGAGATCTTATAAAACCTATGAACAAGATAAATATTTCATAAACAATTATTTTTTAATTCAAAAACAAAAACAAAAAAAAGCTTAAAATTTATCGTCTCCATGTCAATGTTGACTCAACTGTTCATTAATTTTCAGCACGAAAACATCAGATCAGAGACACATAATTGAGTTTATCGTGTG